TGCCACCTGTTTGAAATAACATGTCAACTTTCTAGTAGTTATTAGCCCTTGTTTTACTATTCTGTCCTTGTATAATTTTAAATGATCATATAGATTTGTGTAATCCATCTCTCTTTGAATCTATCATTCTTTCATGGACACAAACTTGTGCCGTCATGATGCTATATCCCATTCTTTCTCCGGAAAAGGGAGCCACTAATCGAGCTTTCTGTAAATATAACTTTGTTAGCTCTACAGTTCGTGTTATGAATTCCTAAATGTGCGTCCTTTTTAACAATGTAACTTTAACTTGAAACACAATCTGGTCTAATTACTTCTTCTTATTGTAAAACAGGCAATGAAACGAAGCTAGGGATGAGTAGGGGTATACCTGAACCAAAGCTCACGGCTGTAGATGCCATGATTGACAAATTGACTGGAGCTATATTCATTTTTCAGATAGTTGTCGTTGTTGTACTTGGTATAGCTGGGAACATTTGGAAAGATACAGAAGCAAGGAAGGTGTGCTGTTAAGGCAGTTTATTAATATTCTTTCCTGCTCAGTCTTAGTTTGATGATAAATATAATTCATGCAAAACATTCAATCCTTAAATACTGAATTGGGGTGAAGCAGGTGGAAATTTATAATGTCTAACAAGTATAGAATCCTGTTGGGGAAAAAAATTCTGGATAACTTCTATGAACCTAATAAAACTTGTTAATATACTTGTTGGATTGGAGATCATGGACGATAATATTTTTAGTTGATCTTAGAATTTTATCATCTAAATATTTGATCCAGAGCCTTGGTATTTTTATTTTCCAAGAGACACAAAGATACAAGAACTGAATATATCTAACGCGACTCTTCATATAAAGAGCTGCCTCCCTATGCATGCCCTTTTTGTATCTTGTTCTTATTATTATCTAATGCACAATATCTTATTCATCTATTGTAGCTGTGGTACGTTCGATATCCAAATGAAGGTCCTTGGTATGAACTACTCGTTATCCCTCTACGATTTGAACTGCTTTGCTCCATTATGATTCCTATATCTATAAAGGTAAAGCTTTTGTTTTACAAGCCATTTACTTGTATTTTGTATTTCTGTGAATTAAGTTACGTTCATACTTTGTCAATTTCGAAATATTATGAAAACTGGATAATATTATACTATTATTGTTGCTTTTGTTGTTATTATTATTTTCGTATTGTTTAATTGTTTAATTGTACGACAATCAATGGCCTGTTGCGCATGTTGCAACTTGACATTTTTAAGGACCGTCACAATCTGGCATATCTGAGAGGGTATCCTCTTCTCTGTTGCAGGTATCATTAGATCTAGTTAAAGGTTTATATGCAAAATTTATTGACTGGGATGATCGGATGGTTGATCTAGAAACAGGGACTCGGTCCCATGCAGCTAAGTATGAACTCTAGATGCACTCATGATTTTGACTGCTGCTGTATTTGCACATTATGTCTAGTTTATCTAATTCTGTTTTTCCTGTAATTGCCAGCACTGCGATTAGTGAGGACTTGGGGCAAGTTGAATATATACTGACAGATAAAACAGGAACTTTGACTGAAAATAAAATGATCTTCAAAAGATGTTGCATAAGTGGAAGACTTTATGGGAATGAGAGCGGCGATGCTTTGACGGGTAAGATTATGTTTCCTTGCTGAATAGAAAATATTCAGTCTGGTAAATTCCTACATTTCTTGAATAGTCAAATGTATTATGTATGGTGTGATCTGTGAAGTTTTTATATAGTTTCGACAAGTATAATAACTCATGCAATATTTTGCCACCGCCCACCAAAGGATTGCCAGACCAAATATCCTATTTTGCATTGTATATGACCAATCCTGTGTGCTTAGCAGTGATTTTTGTGTTGTTTCCGTTTAATTAACATACTCTAGCTTCTATTAATTAATAGACTTCCATTTCTTGCTTAATTCCTTAATTTTGCAATTTTCGGTAGCAAATGAGCTCCAGCGATCTTGTGCCTTAATTTTGGAGGTGCTAGAGGTATCCACACTGACTATCCATGATATTAGTTGCATAATGCCATTATGTATTTTCTGCATTGAGTAGTTGGCTTCAATGGGATGGTCTCAGAGTTGATATCCCAACAATAATACAAGTTAATTTTCTCCCCATGTCCAGGGAGATTTTATTTTTCTATATTTTTTTTTATCATCAATTCTAATACTCTCTATTCAATTACATAAACAATAATGATTTAATAATAAGTCTTGGCTGTCATTCTATGTTTTGTATGTTGTCAGGAATCTTCAGAAGTGTAAGCATTTGTTACTTACAAATTTGTGATGTACAGATACAGAGCTGCATAATGCTGTATCCAGTGGCTCGGAGGATGTAATTCGGTTTCTTAAAGTTATGACCATTTGCAATACTGTGATTCCTGTCCGAAGGTAGCTTGCTAACATTGATCTATATTGGAGTAATTATATAGAATAAGCCAGATATATTGAGTTATGTCCCATATGCGTTTAGGAAAAATGGTCGTAGAGACTCTAATTTATATACTATGTCTATGACTTTCTTGCAGCAAAAGTGGGGAAATCTCATACAAGGCCCAATCCCAAGATGAAGAAGCTCTAGTACGCGCTGCTGCTCGTATGCATATGATTTTTGAGAATAAAAATGGGAATATTATTGGTAAGTGTGACGGATAGACAGCAGGCAATACGTTCCTAAGTTTCTAGTTACATGTACATGCCTATATAAGTATTCCCACACTTATAGTTCATTATCATTTTGGTGGTTGGCTTTGTTTTCAATTTTGACCAAATCGCAAACCTATTGCTCTAAATGATTTTTCAAAATATTGAGATAAGTAATATTAATAGATAGGACTAATGAATTATTAATCTTCAGTCTGGAAAAAGTACTCTTGTAATCCTACAAATTTCACCTCAAAATATGTTGGTGAAGTTTGAAAAGAAACACACTCTATGTTCATCTAGTAATTTCTTTTAAAACAAGTGTGAGAATTGGTAAATATTTTCTTTGCCGATTACTTGCTTCAAGAGATAAATAATAAATATCCTTATATACCTTCATTTCATTTAAGTTTGAAATCAGGAAAAAATATTCGTATGAGGAGAACTGCAAGAAAATGGAAGCCGACGCAGTTGTCACCGACCATTGATTTTCGTCTTACTTTTATTGTCATTGTTTGTCCATTAACACGAACCAGCTTTAATGGTTTCTTTGCCAAACTGCCTGTCAATAATAATGACAACTTGACCCTTATTAACCTGAATATTGGTTTGTAATTACTGTATTTAGGGGATGAGGCACTCATTTAATGTTTATGGCTATGCAGAAATCAATTTCAATTCTTCATTACTCCGATATGAAGTGCTAGATATTCTGGAGTTCACTTCTGACAGGAAAAGAATGTCTGTGGTGGTTAAGGATTGTCAAAGTGGGAACATTTTCCTCTTTTCTAAAGGAGCTGATGAAGCTATCTTTCCTCATAGTTATGCTGGTAATTTTCTTATTATATGGGTGAAAAATTGCTCATATGGTTATCCTTCCTTTTGAGAATTTGTCTGCTTTGCACATTCAAGAACACTCTAGTCATATAAAGTTCCTAAGGTTGACCTTTTTCTATCTTAAATCTTGACTCAATTGGGCTAATGCTATTCTTGATTTCTTCATTCATGTAGCTGCACACTGCATACTTGTGTGATTCAATTCGTGAGTTTTTGTTTTTGTAGTTTCTATTGATATATGGATGCTTTGTTTCTCAAAAGATTCTTGGAAAGCTTAGAATAGCTTTTATTCAAATGGTTCATTTCCTGCTTTTTCTCGTCTTTTTCCTGGTAGACTTCTATAGTTTTTGGTCATTGCTGCTATTAATTTATATTTAGGGACAGTATCACTCTTTATTTAGAAATATGCAATTGCTAATCATCGAATGTGTGTCAGGGCAACAGATAAGGACTTTTGCTGAAGCTGTTGAACAATATGCTCAACTGGGTCTGAGGACGTTATGCCTTGCGTGGCGCGAAGTAGATAATGATGAGTATCAGGAATGGGCCTTGATGTTTAAAGAGGCTAATAGCGCACTTGTAGATAGAGAGGTAATATGAGATGCTTACATCTTTGGGTTTTTTTCACCGTTTTGCTCACGTTCACCATATAATTTTTCAGTGGAGAGTAGCTGAAGTCTGCCAAAGATTAGAGTGCAATTTAGAAATTCTTGGTGTTGCTGCCATAGAGGATCGACTTCAGGTGATTCGTTTCTCGCAGGAAACGTATCTGAATTCTATTTTTTACACCCTCAGTAATATGTTTCCAAATAAGTTGTTTCAATTGTAGTTCATTCAATTCTGTTATTATTCAGGATGGTGTGCCAGAAACAATTGAGACCCTTAGGAGAGCTGGTATAAATTTTTGGATGCTGACTGGAGACAAGCAGAGTACTGCAATACAAATTGGTCTTTCTTGTAATTTTGTCTCTCCAGGTGATTTAATTCAAATGTTATATATTGCAATCTAGTGTTGAATTAAGTTGACATCCACCATTCTAAAATTAGTTGGACCCACTTGATTGGATGATCTTGTCCATTTATATTCTTCTCAATCTCTACCTTGACACTTGCCACACATTTGAGCAATAATAACTGACCTTTACCACTTGATGCTGCCATGTCTTTAACTTTATCGTCCTTATTAACAGAACCTAAAGGCCAGCTTCTGATGATTGATGGAAAAACTGAGGATGAAGTGTGTAGGAGCCTTGAGAGGGTTTTGCTTACTATGAGAATCACGAATTCGGAACCTAAGGTATGATATCGTCATATATCTGATTCGTTGCTGTTCTTAGATGAACTATGTCATCCATTGAAATTCTTGCTGCTATTTGTTGAAATGGTTCATACAAGAGATATACACAAGTTGCAGTGATACCAATTCATTTTTTATAATTAATATGTAATTTATAGTACATGCCTGTTTATTTGTTTTCCCGTTTCTTTTTCCTGTTCCTTTTCTATTTTCTTAATCTCTCTCAGTTTTATTTTTGTAAGAGCCAGCAATAGTGACTTCAATGCCCAGGTGACAATAGTACACTGAAATCATGTATATTAAACCTTAATTATCATATGATTCCCTCTCTAGTGTTACATCAGTAGTGGTACACTTGAACTAGTAACAAATCCATAATCTTACATGAATCTGCAAACATAGTCTTGACAAAATATGTGGATAACAAAGAGAATTCCTACTGCACTCGTTAGTTTTCCTGTTGGGAGTTTCTGTTGACCCGAGTTTTATTTCCATAGGATGTAGCTTTCGTCGCTGATGGCTGGGCTCTTGAAATTGCTCTTAAGCATTACCGAAATGCATTTACCGAACTTGCAATTTTATCAAGGACAGCTATATGTTGTCGTGTCACTCCATCACAGAAGGCACAGGTACCTTGACTTGACTTAATATAAATTTTATTAATAGCATCCAAACGGTATTCTAAGTGGATAGTTGTATTAACTTTTCAGCATGAGTCATTTATTCAGCATAAGCCATTTATTTTATTTATATTTCTAAAAAAATGATATTTACCTCCAGAAAATTGTACCATGTTAATGACCATTATGGTGTCTACTCGATCCATTGTAAAATTATGGTTCCCCTTGCATAATATTAATCCGTCTCTTTTAAGATATTTGTGTTTCCAGTGCATAGCATTTCTTTGTGAAAATGCAAATTGCAAAGTGGTAGGAAATACGTAGTAGAAGCATTGTGAAGATCGGTACTCTTTTTACAATCATTTTTTCGTGTGAAACTACTCTGATATTTTCTGTTTATTTTAGCTGGTTGAACTTTTGAAGTCATGTGACTATAGAACTTTGGCCATTGGGGATGGTGGAAATGATGTGAGGATGATTCAACAAGCTGACATAGGCGTTGGCATAAGTGGGAGAGAAGGATTGCAAGCTGCAAGGGCAGCTGATTACAGCATTGGAAGTAAGATCTTTGTTTTCAGATCAAATTGACATGATCTCTGGTTTGAATAGTTCCACTTGATTGTCTAATTAATGAATGATTATTAACTGTAGAAGCCAACCACCATTTTCCTGAGGTGATTCTTTTATCATAACTTGGCAAATTTGTGTGACTTTCACGAGTTTGAACTTGAGTTCTAATTTCATGAGTTTGAACTTGTTATAAATTATGAAACACCAATAAAGATATGCTGATTTATTTTAACAGCAGTTTCACATCCTCTTATGGTAGCTCAACGAGGTTATATTTTCTCAGCTGTTTCTGTTTGTAAAACGTTACTAACTATGCACACTGTCCTTGCATATGCAATTACTTTTCATGTTTAGTTTTTCTCTTAGAATGGTTACAGGCTCTTCCCTTTGATAAGTAATTGTACGGTTACAAGTTATAAGTAGCATATCAGTGACATTCTCATATGATAATATTGTCTTCCACAGAATTCAGATTTTTGAAAAGACTGATTCTTGTGCATGGACGTTATTCATATAACCGCACGGCATTTCTTTCGCAATATTCATTCTACAAGTCCTTGCTGATATGTTTTATCCAGATCTTGTAAGTTCCTTTACTATTTGGAATTTATTCTTAATGGTTGGAGTTGCCTGGAGATGTAAAAATGACTGCAGGTTTTGCTCATGTGCTGACAGTACATTGCTTTCAGTTTCTCTTTCATTTCAGGTGTCTCGGGGACCAGCCTCTTTAATTCAGTCAGCTTGATGGCTTATAACGTGTTTTACACTAGTGTTCCTGTTTTAGTCAGTGTTCTTGACAAAGATCTAAGTGAAAAAACTGTAATGCAGCATCCCCAGATACTTTTTTACTGCCAAGCTGGAAGGTCTGCTTTGCTCTGAAAGGCTATATTCATTTTATTTTAGAGAGTTTTAGTTGCAGTAAACTACTGTTCCTGAAGTTTATTTATGTTTAAGCGTTCTCTTTGATTTTTGACCGACAAAAACAGACTTCTCAACCCTAGCACATTTGCTGGATGGTTTGGCCGATCTCTCTTTCATGTAAGTACCTTTCTTGTACAGTATGTGTTTTGACATGTTTATGCCTCAATATTAGTTCCATGGTGCTACTTTTATCTAAAAAAAGAGGTCGATAGAGTCAGTATATGTGGGCTAAAACCATGCTGAAATTGAGTGACAAATGAGCTAAGGTCCACTAATGCTCTCAGTGTTACACTGTTGATAATTTGTGTAAAAACTGTCAAAAACTCTGTTGGGTGACTAGATCATTTAACCTTAAGGTGATATAGAAACTGGATATAGCAATTGCAGTTCAAGTTTCAAGACCCCACAAATTATCAACATGCCTAAAAGTAAGAATGGAAAAACTGACTTAACTGTATCTGCTATCCTGCATGTACTTGAATCTATAAATTTTAAATTCATGCCTGATAGATAAACACGTCCGATAAAATGATGAGCATTAGTGGTGATTGATTATAGAAATTTTTTGAAACTTTGTCTCGTCCGAAAAATAGAGATGAAATGGCGGAAAGAGTTGTTTTTAGAAGAAGTGGATTTTTTTTTTTTTAGATTGTGAATGGATATAGGATAAATATGTAACTTGTTGTTATATGAAAATATTAAAATGTTAATGGTAATAATTGTTGGTTAGAATTATGAGTGAGTGAATAGTTTTTTGTTGGAAAATATCTAATAATGATTTGACTTTTATTTTTTGAATGTGTTATTGGGATTGTAGAGAAAAAATTGTGACGAAATTAATAGTATTTTTCTAAATATTATTTTATTTTTTGTTTCCATCACAACTTCAATGAGATAAATCACGTACTAAACCAAAATGAAAATATTTTATATCCTGTTGCCACCGTAGCTATTATGTGCTGGGCTTTGTATTTTTCAACAGAAGACACTATGAATTCTTCTTTTTT